TTGCAGGCGGCGACTGCACATAGGACCGGCATCTGCGAATGCTATGAACCTGGCAGCGCCACAATCTAGAGATGCAAGCGCAATAGAATGGAGGTGCAAAGAGTAAGGCAATATAGCAAGGAAAAACTGACCGATGTTATGATACATTTTTAAGAGAGTAAATTTTAAAACAGACTAGTAAAAGGAGATTTTATCAGTCAGCCGAGGAGGGTGTATACCACTGACGTCATTGGCTCTCTCTCCCCACCCCCCGCTGGGATGTAGCCCAACCTTTTCTACTCTTCTAACCTGGGTATTTTCCGAGAGCTTTCAGCTCCCGTTTTTCTTAGCGTGTCGAGTCGAAAGCGAAACCCGGGAGTGTAGCTGCCTGCCTCTAGCAAGGTGGGAGGCGAGCATAAAAGGATATAGTCTTATCTGCGATCCCTCCGTCATAAAATATGGAGAATGAGAACCACCAGCGGACAAGGTTTTAATTGCGCTTCCATTTGATGTGTAACGTGGCCACAGTGGCTACACTGTACATATTACATCTTCTTTCGAACTCGTCTTCGTTGCGATTGCGGAGCGAAACGATCTAGGGGAATCTTCACCAACTACAAGTCGTTATCCAATTACACGTACGTGCCTTCTGCTAAAATACACTGGGGAAGGGGAGAAAAGGGTGAAGAAAAGAGACAAACTCACCCCATTGATCGAAGGCTGGTTCCTTGCGTCGATTCCAGCGAGTCTTGAGGGCATATTTGAGCATCTTATCTGACGCATCCACTGAGACGAGCTCGAATCCTTCCTCCAGGAGGAGGATGGAGTCGATGCTAGAGATATAATAAGGAAAAAGTATTGCATGAACATTAAAAACATCTTTCGACCCTGTAGGGAAGGGGGGCAGGGCAGCTGAGCAGGGGCGCCAAAACCACACCCGAGCAATATCAAAGGAAAAAAATACAACAAATACGAATATACTTGTTTTACCTTCAAGAGGGGACCAAGTTCTGTCTCAGAGGCGCCAGGGGTGGGGGGGGGGGGCCGCTCCCCCTGCCCCCCCTTCCCCGTCGTAAAATACGTCATTGCACAGGGAAATGTATATTGTGGACAATCCCGCCAAAAAGCATAAACTTGAAGGATGTTGCGCCAATCCAATTTCATTTTTTATGTGTTGGGCACACATAATACAGGGTGGTCCAAAAGTCTCCATACATAGGGAAAATTAACACTTTTTAACAAAATGTAACTTTATTCACAAAATATGCTCTACATGGTTGCCATTACTTTGAAAACACATACGGATGCGACTCTCCCATTCATGGTGAACTTGCGTTAATACATCTGGTGTTATACGTTATGTTAAAGTTACACTTTTTTTTTAAGTGTTAATTTTCCCTATGTACGAAGATTTTTGGACCACCCTGTAGATTATTATTATCTTAATGGTCTTCCACGTATTTGGTTTCTCAAGGTGTTTTAAGGGGGTTCATTTGATTGAATCGAGCATTTCTTTCTTTAGCATTAAAAAAATGAACCTAACGTTCGGCCATCGCTAGTGTTTGCATATCTACAATGGAGCGTTTTTATCCGTAAATTCGCTAGGACTGTCTATTCCTGTTCAGATATTGAAATGAAAAATTTCCACCTACTTCATCTGTGTGTAACCTTAATATGTAAGGAATTTATGTATTCTCTGGTTTATCAAACTTCCGGTATGATGCACTAAATTGTTGAAATAATTTGGTCGAATAGTTTTTTGGATAACACAACATATCAGCTTTTCATTTCATGAAAATCCTCCTGCCTTTACCTGCTACCGTATTCGGAGTGTTGCCTTACTGACTCCTTCACCTCAAAAAATTGTCTCAATTTTTTTTAGAAAGGATATTTCCAACAAAGAATTGTTCCAGTAGATGCGGAATTACCCTTTTCCCATGAATGATCCACTGTAGCCAGAAGTAATGGTGGACTAGGTTTTAGGAAAGTATGGATTGCAACGGGATTGCCCAGATGGCCGAAGAAATGATCTTTCAGCACCATGAGAAATTTCAAGATTCAGATGGGTTTACGCTGGGAAAAAGTTGGAAGGACCTAGTCCAGATTTTTTACATTTACCCTAATGGAGCTTGGCTGCAAACAACAGTCCAATTCCCAGAGACTGAGACTGTGAGTTGGAGACGTGTTTCTAGGTCACAAGGTCTTTCCATTCCTCTTCAGGCACACAGATGAAGACCTCTAAAGCAGGGACGTGCAACCCGCGGCTCGCGGGCCGCATGTGGTCCGGTAATGCATAATGGGATAATAGATGAGTTTCTTTGCGACCGAAGGCCCATCACAACTTTGGTCATCCCTTAGTAACAAGAAATCGACTGAGTCCTTTCTTCTAATTTTTCCTCACGCCGGCGGTGCTACACGTGTCCCGAGGCAGAAGGTTCTCAATGCCAAAGGCTATTTTTGACTTGAATTTCATAGGGGTGGGGAGGAGGTAAGGATCATCGGCCAATCAGCGCGACCTTATGCCCTCATATGCCCTGAGGACTAAAGAGGGGAGCCTATTCTTTTGAATTCTGTAGTCCGCGTCAAGAGTCACACATTTTCATGCGGCCCACTGCCGATAAAGGTTGCACACCCCTGCTCTAAAGTACTGTAGCTTTCTAACTCCAATGAGCTGTCCAAGGCTCGGCTTGTCAAAGAAAATCAAAGAGCTGTGACCAGGAAACTCTAGTGCTTGCTGCTATTCGTTGTTCTCTCGGGAAGAAAAAAATGACATCACGCATACATTATGAAAAATTAGAATTTCTCTTTTAGCATTTCATCATCGATACGTATAATTGTAAAAAATTTCACCTGAAAAAAAGGCGTCAAGATCTTCCAAGGCCCAAACAACCCCAACTCGAGAGACTAAAATGAGACTCGCCTAAGCATCAACTAGAACAGTCCGACTTTATTCCCCCAGATGAGGCTTTGGACCTTGTGATTCATAGCGGCTTTCCGCAGACAGTATCAGTCTGTTCGAGATGGGGCTGGTGCTCATGGTGCTGAAGACCTTTTATCATTGTATCTATCTTACAGAAAAGCAGTGCCGTAACAAGGGGTGTGCGAGCGGTGCCCCCGCACAGGGTACCGAACTGAGGGGGGCGCCGATTGGCTGTCGGAAAATATAAATAAAGCTTTAAAAATTTTGCAAATTATCCTGAATTTAAATAAATTAAACATATAAATTAATACGTAATGTATCGTTGGTGCTGCAGAAGCTGGAGAGGTACAGAGGGGGGGGGGGGCGCTGGACTTAGATTTCGCACAGGGCGCCAAGTATCCTCGGTACGGCGCTGCAGAAAAGTACTGAAGGCAAAATGCCAGTATTAGAAAAGTTCTGGAATTATCACTCTCGAAACTTACAGCGTTATAATTCTGTAAATTTCCTATGTTTAACGGTGATTTTTACACTCCACTGCTTTTCGTGTCTCTATTCCATTTGAGAATATTCTTTGGTAGTTTGATCAATTTCTTCTAGGAAATATGTCTGCAAAGCGCCACCTTTTTTGCAAATGTCAATGTCAATTTCAGTGCCAAATTTTCAAGGACTCCAATAATTTGTTTCAGGAACACATTTTCTTCGATATTTCATCGTTTTAATTACATTCCCAGTACCTCCTACCGGACACCCAAGAAAAATTAATTTTGGCGAGGAAAAATTCGATCTGCATCACTGTTCAAGCCATGTAAGGGTTGTGAAAAAGCCTAAAGGCAAAAAAGGCCTCAGACGGATTCCTCAGCAGCGATTGTACAGACCGAATATCATCTAGGTCATTTCCCATCGACAAGATGCCAAGACTGACTCGAAAGCGAAAGACTGTGGTCTCCACAGGCGAAGTCGCAACACGTGAGATAAACTCTTCATACGAGGGGCAATTAAAAAATTTCCAGAGGAAGGAATGCACAAAACGAAAGTAATGTATTTATTGACTTGATAAATATGTATTTGCGTACACCTACCTATTGGAAAATTGCACTTGCCTCGGAGTCCTTCTTTCAGTTTTGAGAACAAATGAAAATCAGAAGAAACAAGATCTAAGTTGCAGAAAATTGTATTTGCTCCAAGAACTAATGGTAGAAAAAAAAAACAAGTCCTGGAACTTCCGAACTGCCTCTCGAACGCTGACACCTCAATTGCGAAGAAATGAATGCAGGCCGAAGAGCCAATTTTTACACTTTTTGCAGGTCAGATCTAGCTTGAGGGCAAGTAAAGATGGGTGAGGCATCCACAACCACTAATCCAGTGTCTGTGGCCTATTCAACATGGACCCTCTAGGTATGGGTGCTCAACCAAATGGCTCCTGGAAGGTCTATTCACATGACGTCCTGTATGGCGGTCCCAGGGTCGTTTCTAAGCATATTGTCGCCCAGGGCAAGGAGTTCCAATGGCCCGCGCCCCCTGCCCTCCACCAAACCAACAACTGAAACGCGAAGCACCACAGCAACTCTAGTGATTAGGGCCTAATCCCCGGAAGCTGACAAGGAGCCGGAACTGATGGAAATCATTTTGTTACATTTGTAAATAATCAAAGCCAAGTCAAGGCATTTTCTTCCACGCTAACCATATAAAAAAATAATTTTCATTATTGCGTTTCTCTGCGCGGCTGTTCCGCGCAATTTTTTTCAGTGTTCCCTCCTTCTCCTTTCCTACTTCCAGTCTCCGATTCCAATGGTTTTTTTTTCCTTCCTTCCTTCATATAGTTCAGCATTTCCAAATTGATCGAGATAAGAAATTGAAAGCCCTTGCGGGTCACACCGCCTCTTCCTTTCCCCGCCCGGACTGCATTGTACTCTACTTGTCTTAATCCAATGGATTGAGAAAAGTCACCTCCCCCCTCCGGATCCGCCACTGTCCAATGCCCATTTGCAGCGTGGCATGATGCCGCATATACGAGGGAAAGGTGGGGGGGCTTCTGCTCGATTATGAAAAAACGCTGGAAGGAGGCTGCACGGCATAACATTAAATATCATTAGTAATTTTAATTTTTTAGCGTCCCGATTAGTACTAGTTCGAAGGAAGTGGACTGGACCACATAAAAAATGCCTGTTTATTATTGCGTTTCTTTCTGAGGCGCCCCCCTCCGTTGGCGCCCCGGGCGATCGCCCGCACCTAGAAACGGCCCTGGGCTGTCCGGAAGTGTAATTAATTCGAGGAGTCACTTTTAGGTAAAATCTGGTCCAATATGGAGGATTACCCACGGCATTGGCTACCCGAGGGAGGGGGGGGGGGGGCAAAGTATAACGCAATATCTGTAAGGGTCTGTGATCCGAAGAATTGAGGCTTGCGGTCCACAGGTTGAGCACCCCTACTCTTGGGATCTTAAATCACCCTTTTTCCAATCGTAATGTCGTCAGATGTGGCCGAATCTAGGATATTATGGTCAGACCATCATCCAGGAAATTACAGGCCGGTAAGTCTCACGAGTATCCCAGGGAAGATCATNATATTCTCATCACACAGCTCTGCTCTATCTGTGAAAACAACTTGAAGCTTGAAGTAAAATGACTCGAGACATTCTCCGAACGTCATCCCATTGGATTCGGAGGATGATTTCGTGCAGCGAGAACGGTGCCGCGCGGCCAGACCCGTTGGACGAACGAAATTGGATACAGACAGACCTGTTGGACGAATGAAAATGGACTCGCCATCGTGTCCAAAATCTACGCGTCTGCACTCTCAACTTTACCAAAAACAAGTAAAGAAGTGCCTCGCGAGACACCTGACTTCATGTCGAGCAGAATCTCCACGAGTTTCTTTTTCCGTCCGTGGCCATCAGCCGGATCGTGCAACTAGAGCTCGATGTCGACTTCACATAATCAAGTACTTCTTCTCCTGCAATACTTAGACGGTGAAGAACTTGGAGGCGTTACGTAGGATAATACGAGATAATGAAAAAGCGTTGGGGCGAGGTCACTTGCTCAGAAATAAAAAATACATTTTTGTTTCCTTGTCAGCGATCTATGCAATGTCTTTCGAGGAAGATGTTCCCTTTTTTAATTAAAAAAAGTGTATATCCGAATTCCATGTTGCGCCCGAAATGGGTGAAATCGCCTCTTGATATCACTATCTTGAATCTTGAAAAAAGATCGTGGAGTAGGATTCCGAAGCCAAAAAAATTATCGATTAACTTCTAATGGCGTGAGAGGAAACTCGGGATGGAACAGACAGACACGAGAACTAAGTTCTTCGCTTGAGGGGAAGGGGTGCCGTAGAGGAAAGCTAGTCGAGAAATCGTCTTGGATTTGATAGGCCTAGGAAAAGCGGGAGGGAAGCATGATGCGTTACCCGGTCCCACAGGCGACATCCAGGATTCGGTGGCATCCGGAATCTCGGAGGAGTTTTGTGATGAAGGACCTATAATGGGTCGTTCGAGAAGTGTGATCCCCGATGTACAATTCCCACAATTTCGCTGCGGTTCCATCTGCATATTGATCGGGGAGACCAGATGCAGCCGCTCCGAGGGAGCGCGTGCGGTAAATACTATCCACCATGTCGGAAAGGAAAGGACCACAGAGAACCAGTCAGACCCGACGAACGAGTAATGACTGAAAAACTAGTGAGTTTCCTTTCCTTTTTTCATGGCTCTTGTATTCGTGACTGGAAATCGAGGCTGGGCGCAGACGGCCAAGCCTCCAGTTTCAGGCAATCCGAAGCAAGAAAATAAGAGAGAGGACTATTTTGAAGGCAGGCAATCATTGGGTATCATCCTCCAGTTCGTATTTCAGAAGGATCGAGAACAAAACATAACAAGGATGTTTTTCCCCCCTGCATTTACTCTGCTTCTGTTGAATCCGCTTCGTTTCTCGTCTTTGCATCCTTTGGCTACGTTATATTTTTCTACTTTCCATTTCGGGCGCAACATGGAATTCGGATATACACTTTTTTTAATTAAAAAAGGGAACATCTTCCTCGAAAGACATTGCATAGATCGCTGACAAGGAAACAAAAATGTATTTTTTATTTCTGAGCAAGTGACCTCGCCCCAACGCTTTTTCATTATCTCGTATTATCCTACGTAACGCCTCCAAGTTCTTCACCGTCTAAGTATTGCAGGAGAAGAAGTACTTGATTATGTGAAGTCGACATCGAGCTCTAGTTGCACGATCCGGCTGATGGCCACGGACGGAAAAAGAAACTCGTGGAGATTCTGCTCGACATGAAGTCAGGTGTCTCGCGAGGCACTTCTTTACTTGTTTTTGGTAAAGTTGAGAGTGCAGACGCGTAGATTTTGGACACGATGGCGAGTCCATTTTCATTCGTCCAACAGGTCTGTCTGTATCCAATTTCGTTCGTCCAACGGGTCTGGCCGCGCGGCACCGTTCTCGCTGCACGAAATCATCCTCCGAATCCAATGGGATGACGTTCGGAGAATGTCTCGAGTCATTTTACTTCAAGCTTCAAGTTGTTTTCACAGATAGAGCAGAGCTGTGTGATGAGAATATCGAGAAAGGAGATTCGCGTTCCATCCGTCCGCTTGGGAACAACCTTGAAGGGAAAATTTGACCCGTTAAAGTACCGATGGGCTGGACTGGCATCTTGTTGGGAGCAGGCAATGATACTCGGGTTATTTCCGCGGCAGCAACAATCCACATCCGAGTGTGGATGTCCGATGGAATGTTGCCCTGTGAAACGTCTGGACGACACGGCAACCCAAATCCTAATATGTGATGAGTTCCGTTACGTCTCCTCGATGAAGCGAGTTCCATTTTCTCTTAAAACAATTGTCGTGCGAACGACAGCTCGGATAAACTGGTTTCTCGCACGCGTTCGGATTGGAGCCATTACCAGGGACTTCGTGTCCACCCTGTCTCCTGGGATCGGCGAGCCTTCGTCCCCTTTACAACCTGAGCCCAATTATCAGACACCTGGGAGCCAGCACTTCTCACGCTGTCAAAGGGCGAAAGAGTCCCCCTCCCAGAACTATCTGAGAGGCTGGGGAACTCCCGCAGAGCCTCATCCACTCTAACTAGCCTCGCCATTAAATCATCCCTTGGCATCTCGCGCACCTCCTTCCTGATCCCTTTAATCTCCTCCTCGACGTTAATTAGCCTCCCCGATAGCTCCTGAAGCCTCTCCTCCAAACCACAAACTCGACATACCTTTCTTCCACTGGTCCCACCAACCCAATCCTGACCCCGAATGCATCTGATTATCCTAGGCATGTTGCTTCAGATGTTGAGCACTCTCGGCTGATGCTGAATTATTATTATGCTATCTGGTATTTAGTTGTAGTTTCGATCCAGCTAAACCTGGGAACCCCACAGCTCCAGTGAAAAAGTAAAGGAACTGTCCTGAATCTTGGAGTATGCCGAAAACTAAGGACACAAGTCCCCTGCTTAATGTACGAAAGACAAATGGAGCAGATTAATCGCTGATCTAAGATAACTTTACCTCGAGAGTAGCTTCCAACACGCCCTTAAGCTACGAACGCTCGACCAAGACTGACAAATTTGCCGACGACACCAAAATAGGTTATTCTATTAGGGGAGAGGTGGATAGGGTGAGAGCCGAGCAGGGCTTACAGCTCTTAGATGAATGGGGTAAAGGTCCTGATAACACAAAGCAAGTCCTTGGTTACAAGGACTTGAGATTTGCCTCGTCTATACACGACTTGCTCGCTATAGCAAGTCCTAGCCAGTGGCGTAGCCAGGTTTTCGTCAACTTCGGCTCACTTCTCCTCGTCGGGGGGGGGGACGCATTCCGACCAGAGTTGGGGGGGCTGAAGCGCCCTCCCAACTCCCCCCCCCCCCTCGCTACGCCACTGGTCCTGGCAAGTACACTTGCTTCGACTTCACTCGGCTTAAAATCCTAGGCGGATTGTAAGCAAGTCGCGCTCTGATTGGTTGGGGAATCCTCGCAAGAACCAATTGGCGTGAGGCTCATGGCGTCCCCGCACGTAGTCGGAACAGACGGGCCCTTTGGTTTGGGTTTGTTAATGAAAATTTTGTCCGAACTGGCCCTTGTGCATGCGAAGTTAAATCATGAGAGATATTGCTCTCATGATAGAGCATATCATCATGTCTTCCTTACCCGATTCCTGATGGACCGGTCGGGAGGCAAGGTCGATCACGGAAGCTGGTATTAAGGGCCTCCGTGGCTTCAATGGAGAGTTGTGGCGCCATGTCACAAATAATTATGCCAAAATCGTGGTCTGTAGGAATACAAAGACAATGACCCCCGAAAGATCTCTGACATCTATTAGCAAGTTCGAATTTTCGCTCTTTTCGACTTCATTTCACAGATGCTTGACAACTTTCGAGCAAGTGGAGGCAAGTCCTTGGTAGAGTCTACTTGCCTCGTGTATCGGGGCCTTAAGGAATGGCTCATGAGGTTTAATAAGAGTGAGTGTAAGGTGCTTCACATAGGGAAAGATAACGATACATCTCTCAAATAATTCGGCGCAGCAAAACTCGATGAGGCAAACGGGGAGAAGGCACTAGTGTTACTATCGATAAAGAACTCAAGTTCTCGCACGCGCAAGCGACGGTAGCTAAATGTAAAGGGATCTTATGTTTTATCCGACGGTCCATAGCCAGTAAGGGCTTGCACGTGATTCTTCCGCTGTATGTGGCGCTAGTGAGACTCCATTTAGAGCAGTGGTGCACCTTTTCCCCCTTGAGGGCCAAATTGAGATTTCGGCTCATGTTCGAGGGATTCGAGGGCCACAGGCCCTCGAACATGAGCCGAAATAGGCCGCATATAAACATGGATCTTTAGAGACCGGAGGCATCCAAGGGGCCGCAGGTTGTGCATCACTGATTTAGAGTATTGCGTACTGTTTTGGAGGCCTACTAATAAAAGCGATTTAACGGCGCTCGAGCGGGTACAGAGGAGGACTACAAGAATGATAATAGAGGTTAGGGGACTGCCGTATGAGAAGCGATTAGAAGTATTTAGATGTGAAACTCGCGAGGGGAGAAAGTCGTCAGGCCACTACTTTTCTCCTCGAGCCGGATGCGCCTCGTCTCTCACTCAAGTGTTCGATGGAAGTTTCAATTCAGACTCTGATTTTGCGCGATTTCGAGACAATATAAACTGTAAACATGAAACGGTTCTGCGCTCAGCGACTGACCTAAGCACACCTTTCGTGCTTCATGCTCCCATTAATACTACAATGAATTCGTGTTAATTATAAAGATCAAGAGCTGGCCTCCCCAGATTTTTCGTCCACGAGCCGCCACTGCCTGTATCGCAAAAGGCGTGAGACACTCTGGATTGAAAAACTGAAGCTCCCCATCAACTCCAATATCTAACCTGGTCCCCTTGCCTTCCCTGTTTTCTTCTCCCCTCTACCTCCACGTCTCGTCCAATTGTCCAAGCACAATGGTAAGCTTTCGCCAGTCTCTTACTTATACTGAGCGGCTGAAAAGTTGCAACTGAGCTTTTCTTCTCCCTCTTTTCGAGTAATATAAAAAGTTGGAAAAAAAAGTCTCGTGTGAAGCGTTGCCATTTGGGCTATGATTAGTAAGCGGAATCTGGTCAACCGTGCACGAATTGCAGCACGATTTGATGCTTGGAAACCGTGACCCAGGTTCAGTAGTGGTAGAGACATTGTGACGAAAGGAAGGCAATTCTTGAACCCAGACACCTCCAGCTCCCGATTTTTATTATTATTGCGTCATCGGTGAACGAGATCACTATTCATGCATAGTTCAGTGTTGAAGGATAAATCCCTCAAGACTGAACTCTACACCAAGGTCTCTATGACCTTGCTAATTTCCTTTAAAAATTTTTTTTATCCCATATCTCGTTAATCTAGTCTCCTAATTCGTATTTCACCATCTTATTTAATAAATTACAGTGACAGTGGATTTGGTTGAGGCTGGGAAGCATATTATTACTGCCAATATAATATTGGTACCAAAACGTAACAAGTAAAGAATCTCATGGCCTTTATTGAACCTTTTTAAACCTTCACTATATATATAATGCAAAATTACAATCTTTTCAATGATGGATGGTGGCATTTCTCGCTGCTGCTGCTGCTGCTTCTGCTACTATTGAATACTACTATTGGGTGTCTGCAACAGAACATGAAAGCCATTGATATATGTGGGGAAAATGGGCTGTCTTTTTGCTAGGCTTAACTGATAATTAAAAAATGGTATCCAATTATGTTTCAACCTCCCACCAAGAATATTGATTCTTAGCAGGGAAGCGCATGTTGGCTGAGGAGGGTTACAAGAAGTGTTTAGGCGTACTTGTACATTCATACTCAGAGAGTCAACATAGGCAGAAATGCCATTTAACTTCAATACGCAAACCTTGAAAAAATGTCTGCATCATTCCTATTCAACACAATTTTAATAGGTTTCATAGGTTTTCAATTAGATTTTTAGGATGAAATGAATATTTAATTTCAGCTACCACTATAACCAATGGACTTTGGGCATCAATACTAGCATAATACACCAGAGAAAAGGTATATCCACTAAAGAGTGAGAGTGCTCTGTTTTTTTTTTTTAAATAATAATGTAGTACTTCTTTATGCAGTTTAAGTCACTAATACTGCCCATAACTGATCTACATGATACTTGTCGATAGAAAACATCATTTCGTTGTCAAAGGCGTGCTAATTGCAATCCTTTGGTTTTTTACTGGGCACCCTGTAGTTTTCTTAAAATACTCGACATCATCACTTGAAGCATTAAAGGAGGATGCCAACATTCTATGGGACCGCTGCCCCCTGCGTTACAAACCAAAACAGGTGTCAATCGATAGATCTTGATGAGTAGATCAAAGTTGTCAATGGGCACAAATCTGTCGGGGAGTTTAACACTCCCCGACAGATTTGTGTAATATAGGAGTGTATTAAACTCCTATATTGTCGGGAGATGCATCTGTGAAAAGGACTCAATAAGACTAATTCAACGACAAATAATAATAATAACAACAACAACAATAAAATCAAGTCGGTTCTTAATCACTGATCTCAAATACTACGCAGATGTCGCTCAGCGACTTTGCTGGCATTTGAATTTCGGGAGTAGCCCGTTGCTGGTCGTCACCACGAGGAGGTAGCTACATGTTCCAAATGATGTTTTTTTTTTAAATATAAAGTAATGAAGTATTACATCAACCGTACCAGAGGCAGCATTATTGCCATGAAGCGTGTTTTAGCACACAAGACTTCATATCTAACAAGGGCTAACCTAACATCACGCTTTAATGCAATACTACTGCCCCTGGTACGGTTTACGTGAATAATAGTGCAACTAACTACATTGAGATGTAATCAATGATGTTATTTATTATTATGATTTACGTAGTTTTTGAGCATAAATGTAAGGCAGTCTCTGCCGTTTATTCAGAATACTCTTAGGACTTCCTTCTAATAAAGATAGTTCTCATCTCTGTCTACTTCCATTTAAATGCGTTTACGGATTACACAGTTTACTTGAGAATGGTATCGTAGAATTTTTATCGTTGAACATTATTGAACGACGTACTCTAACTTAAAAAAGTGATTACATTTATTACCAGGTTTAATATATATTGAAACGTAGCAAAATAATTAACAACAGAAGATTTGAACTTTGATGACCTGTAACTCGATGATCACACTCTCTGACAGATTTGTGCCCATTGACAACTTTGATCTACTCATCAATATCTACCGATTGACACCTATTTTGGTTTGTAATGCAGGGGGCGATTTTTGGCATCCTCCTTTAGTATCACACACATTATCACTATCATCCATGATGGTAGATATTTACAAGACACGAATATGTTTATTGGTTCATCCCAGCAAATGTAATGAGCCCATTATCTAGCATCTGCTGTAATATGCAAAATTAAGGACAGGCTGATTCCCTGCTGAAATCACAGTTCAAACTCTCCAAAAAATGTAGGCCATTAGCAAAAAGGTTAAAAGGTCACATTTTACATGCAATATGTTTCAATTACAAAGCAATATGAATCAATTACAGGAAAACAGATAATAAATGTAGTTCTATACTTGTCTTAATATTGGTAGAAAGTTGGACAGCACATGAAGTAACAAGATTAAAAAAAGAATCCAAATGTCCTACTTGATAGTAGAATTATCCTTGTAATGGTCAATCCTGAATTCCATACACAGGGTTCACATTAATTTGCTAAAGTGAGTCCCTGACTCATATTTTCTTGGAGGGACTCATATTTGCAAAACATCTAAGTCCATGGGACTCATTGACAACCGCCTGAACATGTTTTCACTGAGCTTAAGCTAGGTGTCAGTACTCAAGATTTAAAAAAGCTAGTTTGAACCCATCATCCATGATATTCATGTTAAATTGCTTTCCTATTAGCCTCCTCCCTCCAACTACTTTTCAGCTGATCATTCAGAACCCCAAATGATAGCAAAAATATGGTCACTGATTACCATGTGTGAAGAACATCCATCAAAATAATATTATACAAAATAATATTAAGCAAACTTGCCCATCTCACAAAAGATTATTACCAGGACACACAACACAAGCAATTCAAGTCATTGAAAATAATCTGGTTTTCTGGATTCCACAATGAAATGGGTGAAACATTTGGAGCTGCTACTGAGATACTTTCAAGACTCACTTGAAGAAAGATATTGGGAGCATTTGTATTGTGCAGCCAAACGAGCTGTAACATCAGGTTCCATTCCTGCAGCTTGAATGTACAAGGCCATAGCTCTCTCTGGTCCACCATTTCTTTCCAGAATATCCAACAAATACTCCAGAGTCACTGGCATCTTCAGATGTGGTCGCCGAAGAAATCCCTAGTAACCACCACAGCAAAAGCTTTCTGTTCATACTTCAAGTCAAAATCTCTGCTTTAGGCATAGTTAGGGGAAGTGGTGGTGGTTGGAAAAAGCTCTATGGTTTCATGAAATGAAGATCTTTTGACAAAAGCAAAATACAGTAGGTCTATTTCAATGCCATACTTAGAGTTTCATCCTAGTGCCTACAAATGATGTTAGCTGTATAGTCCACTATAATTTTTTAGGTAATGGTTGCTCATGATCTCATAACTGAGAGTTGGTGCATATTGTGGATAACATACAAGCCACAGAGCATACACAGGTATAGCCACAGACAGATTCATCTGTGAGATGATTATTTTTCTTCTTGGGAGGTGAACAATATTGCTGATTGTTCCATCCATGTGAGAGAGAAATGAGAATGAGAATCCAAGTCCCATGCACCAAGCTACATTTACATGTACATCTGTTCCTCTCCTCCTCTCTTCTTGGGAAGCATTGGAACTGACAACCTGGAAAGCAGCCAACAGCTGAAGGCCAGCGTTGGGCAGTAACAAAGTAAAAGTAACGCATTACAGTAACTAATTATATATTATGGTCATTTCATTGGCAACTAGTTACTTTGCAGGGATCAGTAACAGAACAAGAATTAGTTCATTTCTATTGAAAAATTCAGCAATCTAACTGTTAAATGTTATTTTCTTGACACAAGACACACTTTCTCCATGAGACAGCAATCCAGGTGTCCTCTTATTGCCATTTCTTCATTGATGTGACTCCATATATTTGCATTGCATGTTGAAAGGTCATATTCTCCTTTCAAATGTCTCCATGCCCCTGGTTTGAATATGAATGAATATCACCCTATTGTACTTTCACCAACCAATAAACATGAGTATGTAGTCAATATCTCATGAGTTAATTCAGCACTTAGTCCACAACAGGGGTTGGAAAAGGTTCAGCTAAGAATGGTATTAATCACCAAAATGCATGCATCATATGAAGATGTTGCAATTGTCCTGCTGCATAGATTGCCCTGTTTATCAGAAATAGGTTTTTTCTTCTGGGAATACTTCATTTGAGCTTTTTGTTCCAGCTGAAACACCAAGAAGAATTGCTTCTAGTTGTAACTAATCCTGTAATACATTCTATTGATTGGTGTAGTGTCTCAGGAAACCACAGCCTTCATAAATACACCTTCACTTGCTTTCATCTGAGAAGGACTTTATGATCCAAGATTTCATTCATGGAGCAATGGAGTCATTGGAAATCTTCCTCCTTATATCAGGGGGAATGTACAATTCACTCCAAATAAGGTGGCAAGAAAGATCCCCTCTTATCAAGTCCATGTTGACAGGACCATACAGAGAATGTGAGGATCTGCAGTCTTGGACTAATTCCTTGCCTATCTACATTCCCCAACTTCAAAGATGTATTATGAAAAATTGAGTGTTAGGTGAATGTGTACACTCTCAACATTTATAGGGAATTGAGTGAAGAGGTCAGTTGATTTCAATCCATTAGAATTTGTGAGCATACACTTATATAAGAGCTTTTAGTATTAAGCAGAGCACAGTTGGTTTGCCTCCTTGAGCAAATCACACACATCTGGGAGGTGGGACTAACAGAGCACATATTCCTATCTTGTCTGAATATCTATCACTCCTTGACATTCTTGATTGACAATAGTTCCAACAAATTTGTATATGAAGACAGATGGAAAAGAATGGGATCCAAGTTGATTTTTAGTTTAAAAAACGTTACATGAAAATTTTGTTGATTAAAAATTTACAACTAAAAGTTGCTTTTGACATGATATTAATCAAGAGGGAATGAATGCTAGAAAACTAGTGTCCATGTCCTCTCAAAGCTTCCACCACTCCAAAGCCACCACTAATAACCTCTTCTGCTTTCACATTTGGATGGAAACAAAGGACAGCAATTGCTTGTGGTGGTCAAGATGCAACATGTGATTGTACTTTGGCCATAATATGATGAAATGAAGCCCCTCTACAGTGCATGGAGGCCCACTACTTGACAAGCATTCCTCTGGGACTGGTAGTGTAAGTCTCATAGACGAAAAGTATTTCAAGTAGCACTTCAAATAGGGACTAAATATCAATTATAAAGGCATTTTTTAAATTATGCACTAATTTAATTATTCCATGGAAATGCACAAGCATAAATTTGCTCTCTTAAAGTGATTAACTCAACACTGCAAAAAAATATAAATAAATGACAAAGTAAGAATCAAGCTTGTTTGAGATAACCATCTTTATGGAAAGAGACAAAGCTCCAATTATGTGAGCTAAATTTGACACTCCTGTGACAGAAGTATGCTTTGGATAACTTTTAAAGAAGGTACATGTAATTGAAACCAAGTCCATGTAATCATTGTCAGAAGTTGGGACTAAGGATTAGAGAGAATGTTCATCAAAGCAAATCTATCCTGAATTTTCATTATATCCACATTAAATGATCCTAGGGATCATAGTAAATAACTCAATGCATCATAAAGTATACAAAGCCAATGTGGCTGTAGGTGGATTATGCAAACCAAGTACTGTTTCAGGCGTATTTATAAACTTTAAAGTAAAAAGCAATGTAATTGGCTTAAATAATAGATATAATAAGAAGAAAATATGATAAACTGATGGTTTGAAAATTTTGCAAAGAAGCCAGTTTTCTATATCAACTCTTGATTAATGTGACTTGACCTCTTACCTTGGCAAGAAGGAGGGATTCTATCTCTGGCCACAGAGAAGACTTGGCTAGCCCATGAAGTGCAGGCCAGAGAAACTGACGTTCTTTCAATGCAAATGTCTTCTTCACGTTCAATGGAGATGCAAGATGATTTTCCCGCATTTTCCAATGGTGTTCCACACAATAACAAATTGTTCCCAATAAAGAGCTCCCAATCACACTCTTTTGATCTTGTAGGCCATTCCCCTGCTCCTTCTCCTTGCTGAGGTTTCTGGCTGAATCAAAACTTGCTATCGGCATCTGTTGCTCTAAAAGCACAAAAGGCAGCTCTGGGGAAAGTCCTCTAAGTAAATCCTTTAGGAAGAACCTCATGAAAAAGCAATGAACATCTATGAATTCCAGCCATGAATGCGTTGAAGTGCTGTTATAGGAGGTTCTCTCATATTTGACTGCTGCATCATTCAACACCAGTTGAGATACATTCCAGTAGAAGACACCATATAGGATACTAAGCTCCCCTAAGTAGAAGCCTATTCATTGCAAGAGCATCAATGAGCCAAATGGAGATAAACACACAGGAACTAGCAGATTATAAATTATGAGAGGAACAAAGGCAAAAAGGTATATGTGCTAAGCACAAGTAAGATTTTAAATCTCATAGATAACCTAAGAATATAGCAATGGTTTGAAGGTGTTAGAAACATCAGCTTTTTCTTTCCATTCCCATCCATTGATGCACTGAAATTATTTCCTTACAAATGAAGGAATGAAATTGACACCACTTGTTCCTTCATAATTAAAGTACACTAATGGAGCAGAATAAAATTTTCAGGCTCAGCATGTGAGATAATCTGTAACTTCTTTGGATGACTATCCATGCAAATGGCAGCCAAGGTGGAACATTTTTCAAAGATTTCTCTGGTATGAGAGATATCTTTCACTTCATATTGAGAAGGAACCACACAGCTGGAGTAGCTCAGGCCATATACACACTATACAAAGCATAATATGGATCATGGTTCTTCCAGTGCTGACTTCTTCCATACATGAAACAAAATCACTTGTGCATTGTGATGGCAAGTTAAAGTAAAAGGAACTGAAGGAACTGAACCTTTCCCATGCATGAATAATGGTCAAGACTGGTCAAGAATTACACTGATTCAGGCAATCATACATGCTACAAAACTAATCTGACTTCCAAGTACTCTAGAAGTTTTTATAGTTAGAAACGGAACCCAAAAATTCTTGGGGAACAAAGATGTGATTTATGGAATAACACTGCTTAACATGCACAGGGCACTCACCTAATAGCCTTATCTCCTCCAAGACAGAGGAGGCCTCTTGAGACAGGACAGGATTCCCTAAGAAGTGAGTTCTATGCGCATTCTGCAAAGCCTTGAGACGACTCTCTGGATCCACCTTGCTCATAGCCAAGGAAAACTTGAGCATCTGAAATTGAAGAGGAGGCAATTAAATATGAGGGAAGACTACCTTATGAAAAACATACTCGTCACAGCCCTTTAACTTATTCAAGTTAACCGAACACAATCCTCCAATTCCAGGCAAAAAACACGAAAAGTAACTGAGAACACTGAAATTACCATCCCAATCTATGTCTCTCTCCACCAGAAAGTGTTCACAGCTTCATATCATGTCAGTGGACACATTAATGAACCTTACTATAGGTATTTTTCTCACTGGAACAAAAAACTCCACCACCAAAATCAATGTGCATCTTTCACTGTGCACCTACATTGAGAACAGGATAAAAACAAGACTGTATCAACTATACAGCTGAAATTAGCAAAGTATTTCATTGAGGAAATTTCTATCCTCAGAAATGCATCAAACACCACATACAATACATCCTCTGGTCAAGTTAGCTATCGAATAACTCAAACTATAATTATAGATAATAAGCTTTTCCAACTATTTGCAAAGGCAGCTCTTTAATTTTGGCCTATCTTTTCAAGAAGTGCAGTTCCAATAAATTATAAAAGAAATTTCATATTCTAGTCACTGTTCATGCTGAGAATGCAGATGCAGAGGCAAACAAAACACAGGTGAAAATTAGAATACAGATGAACTGCAACAACCTAAATACAGCTCTCTAGTAACAATGAACAATAATAAATTTATTTGGCAGATATCTAGGCATCTTGTAATGCATATAATGAAGGCATACAACAAAGGTTCAATTTTCCTGTTCTTTCTTTAATTTTAACTCACTTTATAAAATAGAAGCATCCTTTCCCTACTGAATTTCCAGGGAACACTAATTATTGATATAATTCTATTATTATAGAATATAACTTGGGTGATCAACATTTTCTACCTTGCGAATACATCCTCTTGTACAAGGTGCATGGAATTTTGTATATTTTTTGCCCCAGACTTCACTTCATGCTGGCAGTACCTTATTCCTGAAGAGAAAATAGTCATTTGCGACAGTAGAGCACCAACAACGACCATACCATGTGGGGTAATGGGTAACATTGTAACCATCACAACATAATTCTATGCACCTTCTTTAATATATCTGGGACACAGAATAATTAACTCACAGCAGCCTCCTCTACACGGTCCAGCACCCTGTAACACCAGAGGGAGAACCTTTCAAGTCCACAGTCATTCTTCCCACTCTTTAAGTGGAAGAAGAAGGTGTGGGGGTCAGAGCAAGACAGCTTCAAATGCAGAAAGGGAAAAATTTTTGGAAACAGGTTATAGAGAGAGAGGGGTAGCAACTGATCAGGAGAGCAAGATGAGGATAAAAAAGGAAATGAGAGGAGGAAAATATGGCAGGAGAGGCAAGGAATCCCCAATGACTGGGAAATCAATCCCTCAAGGTCAAGCATGTGGTCTCAATTTTTCCAAAGATGAACTCACTATTGCAATGACTTGTCTTATTGATTGCTCTCTTTGTGTATGTTGTAGCTCTGAGCAGTAGAGTACATAGCTCCCATATACCAAACATCAAGGATGTTTATATTTGTACCTTGGCCCACTACTCCAATTCAAAGATTAAATTTACAATGGAATACACTTCGGTAGAGCAAATGATTAACCTGTCCATGCCATAGTACCTTTTGTTCCATATTTGACATTATAGGATCCAGATAGACCCCATAATGCTCTGTTGCTCTTTCAAACGTGCATGGCAGTAATTTTCAGTAGGTAACAGAGTGTGGATAATACAGTTGACGCTCCATATAACGAACTCAATGGGACGGGTTACAAAAATTCGTTATAAGGAAAATTCGTTAAAGGGAATTTCCCTCATTTCACTGAAAAATAAAGAGGTCTGTAAAACTTACGTCAATATCACTTCAAAATATCACTTAGTGTAAAAAAAAAAGAAAAGAAGAAGCAAGTCGTTGTCCATTCATATGCGAAGTGCGAAGGCCTAAATGTATGGAATATTACAAAATCAAACTCTCAAGAGTAATGAATGCACCTAAATGTACTTAAAAATGTACTTAAGAATGTACTTAAAAATCGGACGAGTCAGCAACACTCTATTAATCGGAAACAAAATCCCAAATGGTTGTCTGCCTAAGGTGACCAGATTTCCGTGTCGCGAAAGTGGGACGCCCTGCAAATACTTCCCCTTGCCTCTTAAAAAAAGAATACGAATGCATTTTGTTAGACAGACTATTGTATCTGTTATTGTCAAAACAAGAATTAGTTCATTTCTATTGAAAAATTCAGCAATCTAACTGTTAAATGTTATTTTCTTGACACAAGACACACTTTCTCCATGAGACAGCAATCCAGGTGTCCTCTTATTGCCATTTCTTCATNATAATGAGATATTGGGTCATGCACTGTTGTCTTGGTCATGCTGGGTTGGGAAAGTTATTTTGGCTTGTCTTCCAAATGTCTCCGAATGCAAGAAAGCGTTAGCAAATCATCAGAAGAGGAAAACGCGAAACGACGTCAAGCACGCCAACATAGAAAGTGAAGCGAAAATTTTTCATGAAATGGTGGAAGCAGAATTGTTTAAATTCTGCTTAAATAAATGATACAAGCGCATTCGATATTTGAAACAAAACTAAAGATGAACAGATTTAATTTCGAGTTCGGGATTCAGCCCAGATTTCACTGTGCAGACATGCAACTGGAAATTCGTTAACCTGTATGTTATTCGGGATGATTTTCATCCAAGTCGCGATCCCGTTTTCAGAAAAATTTTCAGCAACGTCACATGTGCAGGACGCTTCCGTGACACTTTCACTATACTGCAGCGAGTAACCACATGCGACTGGCGTGACCTTCGCCCCTATCTAGCCTCGCTCTCAGGTCGTTTGCTCGAGATCTCTTTCTGCGGAGAGGGAGAGATTCTATCGTGAGCGGGGGTTTTGGTACATTTGCACATTTATGCCCGGCCTCCTCAAAAGTTCTCAAGAGTCACTTTCCCATACAATTTGAAAACATCTATTAAGATATCAAACATCTGAAAGAAACCTTTAAGAAACAATGGGATTCATTCTCAATTGACGCAAAACGAGCCAAGTCCGGTCTCTGAAAGTTGACTCCTGTCCAGAATCGCGGATGAGAGGCCTGGAGGCTTCCCCTGGCTCGTAGACAACTACAGAGTGTTTCAAAAGCTGTACAAATGGTGTATATACTTGGCTTCTTTTTTTTTAAGGACTTGGATTGAGTATTGAGCGATGAATTTCTGAATGATGTGTTGATAACGTTCAGCATTTACAATTTGTGGAAAATGCGGAACCCACAATACCTAATGCAATAGCTGATGTGCATGTATTCCAGTTAAATATACAGGGTGTTTCAAAAGTCCGTACTCATGGGTATTTTGAATTAATTAAATTTCTCAATGGATGAGTGCGCCAAAATTAGTACAGAAGTACTAAGAAATATTCAGAGGGGGTTATGTGCCAGGATTGATATGTGTATGCAAGTTTATGGCACGTAATATGAACATTTAACCCTAATCCGGGCAAGGTGAGCCCGCTGGACTCACCACGACATATTTCGGTCTATTACTGTCATTATTTTTTAAAACTATCATTGAATAAATTGTCTGTATTATTTTAGTTACAGTACTGTTATTTATAAGAATACATACCGTAACCGCAGCAAACGGCCTTATTTTACGAGTCTGACAGACTCACCTTGCCCGGAATAGGTTGTAAAAAAGCTTGCCCGGATGAGGGTTAATGAAATAAAGGTAAATTAGGAAATCTGCCTACGAGTCCGGACTTTTGAAACACCCTGTATAAGGGTATCACTGTTCACGCACATGTCATCCTCCCTTCGACATTTCCCAAAAGCGGGACATTTGAGCCTCCCGCTTACTGCATCGGGGGACACCGGGACATGCGGTCTGAAAGTGGGACTGTCCCGCCGAAATCGGGACGTCTGTCACCTTATGTCTGCCGCGCTCCTTCCTGGACAATTCTTTGAGCTGTGGTCTGCAGAGCACTCAATGCTTGAAAAGTTTCAGGTTCAACATTCGGCCTCTGACCGAAGATAGTCGAAGGCTTCTATTGCCTGACAGAGTAGAAATTTGGACTCTACCAGACCTTAATCCTTATCGCGATGTCCTGCTTCTTGCCACCTTTTCGAACAGCTAGGATAACTTGCCATTTCTCCTCGAGGGAGAAAGCTTTTCGTTTCCCCATCTTATTCGCTGAGAGGATTAAGACGAACTGACAGGTCTCCCTTTCTCCCCACGGCCACCCTCAAAGGGGGTGGAACATGCTAAATTTAGAAATGAGATGAACTTTTCCAGAAATGCGCGAGAGAAAGTTGCTCTGAAGTGTGCTACGATTAAAACTTCGTAAAACGGAACAGTTTTGTTCCTTCGGACGAAAAAATGAGTTCGTAAAACGGAACAATTCGTTATATAGAACTTCGTTGAGAAACTTTTTAACATGCATGTGAATGAGCAAACGGCCAGGAACTAGATTTTAAAAATTCAAAATTCGTTATATGGAGAGTCGACTGTATCCAAAATGGTGGTGGATTTGAGCAAGACAATACATTTTTCATTTTAATAATGAGATATTGGGTCATGCACTGTTGTCTTGGTCATGCTGGGTTGACATACTTTTCAGTCCAGCTGGTGCTGAACTTGGCAGCACCATGATAGTCTCTGGTACCAAACAAGAAAAATGATGGATATCAATGACAGTTTGTGATATTCAGTAGTAGTGGAGATCAACAGATCTTCAACGGAGGCAGGGTAGGCTTGGGCCTACCCTACATCCATTGATGATTTACCCCTACTAGTACCAGAAATCCATTCAGTATCCATGGATGAATGAGAAACAGGTAAATATAACTTCACCTAGAAATCTGCCTAGAAAAAAAAACTTATTACTTACTGCTATTACTTGTAATAAAATTGGTTAATTTTGTTATACTTTGAGCTATTATTTCCTAAATTGTGTTAGTGACTGTACACGGTGGTCCGTAGTAAACCGTTATTTTTTTCTAGAGGTTGTATCTTGGAGTCCAGCGGAGCAAATAATGCCAATTATAGACAAAAGCCGTGATGAATCCAATCATCTCCAAGGAGTAGATTTTCTAGCTGATCTGGCAGAGGAGGTCCACCAGGACTCGATCCTCTCTGCTACTGAGAGGTTTTTTTTTTTTTAACGTGGACCGGGACGGAAATACACAGACAAGGACAAATGTCACAAGCGGCAACACTGAGTAGAGGAAAGGGAATTCTATATCGGACATCCCTGACGGCATTGCCCCACCTTCCCACTCTTGCTGTCATAATTTATCCCGTTTTCACGGACCCAGGGAAGGTGGTGGCAACTTCGATGCCGCTCCGGCCATAGGCCTTCCATCACTGCACATCGGGCCGCCAGGGCCGATGTGGCGGGTGCTATTGAGGTGCACCAAGCCCCTACCTCTCTCACACAAACTTCAGCCCAAGGGAGAGCAGGTAGCACCCGAAAGCAGCCAGGTGAACTGTCGGCCCAGGAGAATACCGCCTGCCGCCCACAGTGGGCGGCAGGCGGTATTCTCAGCTCACACACAACAATCCAGCTCACACACCTCCTCACCTCGAGCTCTCAAGGCACCAAAAGCTACATGAAACCAATTTAGTAAAAATGGAACATTTCCATCGCTTCTACGAATGGTTGTTTGATATTGTGCTTGTTGTTGTGACCATAGAGGAAACCGATTCCAGGTCACTTCTTCGACTGGACAATTCTTCGACTGAACGCTTCTTTGAAAAACTTTCGTCGAAACGTTCAGTCGAAGAAGTGTCTTTCGAAGTGACCTGGAACCAAGGAAACCAGCGCTGTGTCGATCTTTCAAGATTTTAAGAATGACTGAAGGCGTTTTTGCAGAGGTTCAGGTCTGGCGAAAAAGCCGGATAAATATCCATGTCTTTGATGTCACATTTCCACGGATCACTGAACTTGAATTTAAAATGTTAAGTTTTTAAACATTTTAAATTTTCAGCTCTTGAAAATATATTGCACCAGACTGTCGCACGCACTCAATCATTCAATTCTGTTTTTCTTATCCAGAACTTGTATGGCAGACCAGCAAACCCAAGTAAATAGCTATGGCCGACAATTTCGTCGAGCGTTTCTGTGGGTTTTGTGCCTCGAATGCACTTGTAATGCAAATACATCGAAAACAGCTCTTTCCTTTGATCGATAGCAGAACCGAGGACGTTTCGCAATAGCTCGTTATTATAGAAATCACTGTTGAAGTTGGTGTCGAAACGCGGATGAAACATCATTAAACATAACACATCAAACTGACGAAGTGATCAGTGATTGCCTAAAAATTGGTTACAATCAGCTTTTGGTGCCTAGAGCTCGGGGAGAGGACGTGTGTGAGCTGGATTGAGAACTGACCGAGCATCTAATTCATGTATTTGAAAACCCGTTTTGAAGACTTACAAAAACGAGGTCGGACCTCAGTAAACTGTAATTGACTTTGTCCAGATGAGACTTTTCAGCAAAAATAGGCTCAATCGTCCAGGGCGGCAAAGATGCTGCCTCTAGAAAAATAACGGTTTACTATGGACCACCTTGCATATCTGAAATTTACCGGTCAATACCTCTGATATCTACTCTTATCCAAGACTTTAAGCGTTCATTTTAAATGAAAAGCGATGCAAATACAGACGCCAAAAGATCCAGCAGTTCTTGATGTTCATAACGAATCTTGAGATACTCAATGTAGTGATCTGCTGCAACAACTTGCTCCAGCAGGAGTTTCTGGAAAAGGCTCTTCTTCAGTGTTTTCCTCAGGTGTAGAAGCGCCTAAGAACATAGTAATGCCTTTCTAGTAACTCACACAGAATGGCTTCTGTCTGTTTCACTCCAAAACATCTTTGTAATAATGCATTAAAATACAATAACTTGTAAAGCTCTATCAGGGTTTATGCACCTCTCATATGACTTCCTCTTTAATAAAAATGAAATCATGAATGTACTCACTGCAAGTACTGCATTACCATCCCCGCTCTTGATAGCACCAGACAGAAGAGAAACTTTGTCGGACATTTTCTTATACACTTCCACTTGATGTGGCTGTCCCAAGAACATCCGTTTCAGCATATCATCAGGCAATAAAGATGAGTAAGACATCTGAAAAGCAGGATGTTCAATCATCATAAATATGGAGCTCGTGATACTACAAGGTGTCCCCAAAACAGGAACTAAAATATCTGAGAAGACACCGCATACTTTTTAGTTATTCTATGTTTTATGTATCCGTTCGAATCGCGGGTTGTCGGATCAATGCAGCAGCGGCCTAATGAGGGTGAGAAGTGGGAAGCGTCAATCAAATCGGCCACCCCCGAACCCAAGGGCGACTCTGCCCCTTTTTTGAGGGGCGAAGGAGGAGATTAATGAATGTATGAGGAAAGGAATTTTTAGACTTTTGGGGAGTAGAGGGTTGAAAGTAGAGGAAGCTCCGCCACTGGTTTCCTTCTTCACTCCCCCTCTCCTCTCATTAATCATAGAGTTTCCCCTTTGGTCCTAGTGCCGCCTGACATGCTAATGTCTTCCTTTGCTTATCTCTCTTGACCCGCGATTTGAACGGATGGACTATACGGTATATGTTTCATAGGCTCGTGGGTATTTTAGCAGGGACAAAGAAAGGGGTCTCTCTAATCCTTCCTTCTTAACACCAGGGGGATGGGTGGGACTCCTCCAGACTAAATGAGGGGAAGGAACATAATCCTCTTCTCCAGCAATCTAGGTTCCCCCGCTGAGATGTCAAAATCCACTTTTCCCTGCTTTTCAGAGAGAACCAATAATATTCGCTCACCCTCACACGAAGTAAGAGAAGCTAGGTGGGCTTCATACTTCTTCATTTGGCCAATGCACCACCTCATACTCCTTTTAACGTTGGATCAGAATGCCTCATTGTTCTGGATGTGGACGAGTGGTTCATGCAGACTAACGATATTCCGTCTATGATTTACTCCAGGGGTCTCAAACTCGGTGTGCGGGCCGCAATGTCAAGATCCGACCTCCTTGCGGGCCAAAGTTAAAAAAGTCTGAAGATTTTCCCTGATTGTGTATATTGGGCCTGAAACGTTTCTCTCTCGGTGTACACAGGTGGGTCGCGGGCCACGAGTTTGAGACCCCTGACTTACTCGACTGTGATTGTAACCTAGTTGAGCCAGTTTTCTATAGGTTTGCCAACTTTTCAATATAATGCTCTACATTGTAGTCAGAATTTATGCATCTCTCTTCGAAACTCGCGTCAGGAAGGCGCGCGCTTACTGTTCCTCTTAATGCCTTCAACAACCCGTTGAGTAGGACGAATTCTGCCTATATTATGCAAGGTGGACCATTTATATCTGACACATTTATTTTTGCAATAAATCAGGACTGAACAAAGCAATGCAAGCTGTTATTATATCAAAGTAAAGTACAAACATGGGAGATTGTCACACTAGCTATCCCAGGTCTACATCTTAAAAATTAAATTCTTTAAATGTTATCTTTCACAATTGATGCATTCCTTGCATCGAACCACTACATTGTTCATTGCATAAATCAGTGTGTCTTCATCAATAGCAGCGACGGGTTTATTAATCATAATTTAGAGTTCATTTCTACTTCTAGGATGTCTTGTAAACTTAGCTCTTCAATAATCCCCAGAGAAAAAAATATGGTATGGGATTTTGAAATTTTTTAAGCAAGAGTTTGGGGGAAGAATAATTTCTGGGTTCAGCATTGTTTGGCCATCCCGATCCTCAGACCTGTCTGCACTGGATATTTTCTCTAGGGATTATTAAAGCGCAAAGTCAACCAGACAAGTCCCAGAAGTGATGAACTTAAAATCATGTTTAATGAAGCCATCGATGCTATTGGTGAAGACACATTCATTACAGTAATGTAGTTGTTCAATGCAGGAAATGCATCAATTGTAAAAGATGGCATTTAAAGAATTTAATTTTAAGGCATAGATCTGGGATAGTTAGTGTGACAATTTCCCATGTTTGTACTTTACTTTGATATAATAACAGCGTGCATTACTTTGTTCAGTCCTGATTTATTACAAAAATAAATGTGTCAGATATAAATGATCCACCCTGGATTTACGTCGACCAAAGCAGGACTCGTCCACTTCCACTACGATATCTGGACCACTAAGTTGAACGGCGGTTTCCTCTAGTCACACTTGAATCAGCTGACGAAGGTCTCCTAGGATACTAGAGACTGTCTTTTGGCACAAACTATCCTCTTCGCACATGATTGAAGTAAGGATACTTTAGTATCCAAGCTACCATAACCTCAAGGGTTTGTTGGATTCTTACTTCTCTAATGACAAAGAATGTACATCTCAAGTTCCAGGGGTCGGGAACCTTTTTGGCCACGTGAGCCATATTGAGATTGAGCTAAGTGCTTGTGAGCGAAAGATTTTCAGACCAACATAATTTTGGAGTTGGCAACAGACATATGCATTCTTTGATACGTGAGAAAATGAGAAACAACCATGACTTCCAGCCATGACTCGATGAGTCAAACTTTTCGGCTCGTGAGCCATTGGTTCCCGATCCCTGACTAAACCTTTCCTTTTTTATGCAGGCTCGACTTTTGCACCAGCAGGAATTAGCGCCGAGCCTTATCTCTGTGGCCCCTCCAGTTGCGGAATAGCCCTTATATTATGTTGGCGGAAAGCGGCAATGCATGGAATGCCATGACACAGCACCTAAACAATTTCCACTTCGCTGTCACGTCGAAAGTACAGTGCTTTTTCTATCAATCGAAAATCAACTTTTTCTATCAATCGAAAATGGAATCTAAATGAGGCAAACTGAATTGCCTGGGGTTAAGCTCTAAGCCGTTGGTGTCTGGCTGGTGTTGGATCCACTCCCCCTCTCTACCCTTATCAGCATGAGATAAGTTGGAGAGACCGATTCCAACTGCCCTCGCTGAAACACCTAAGAGCCTGTCCCCCCCCCCCCTCCCATGCACAGCTCCATCCGTTGGACAATACCATCAGCCATACAGCTACAGCTGCTGAACACGATCATAAATTATCATTCACTTGGACTGAACAAGGTCTGTCAGAATGTCTTTTGCATAGACAACACGACCTATGGTCCTGAACTTCAAAATCCACCGGCAGCAAAGTCTTTGCAGAGGATTTTTTATTGAACACATTGCAGAACCCATTCAATACAGCCAATATGATCAGTCCACCATTTCCACCTTCACCAAAACTCCTAAAATAATGTTCAAACCAAAGATTAACTGGGATATATTTCTTCTAAATTACCTGTAACAAAGTAAACATAATACCACATTCCAGTTACCTTTTTCTTGGGCCAGCCTGTATTTGGAGACAAGCAAGCCATGAGTAGCATCTGCAACTTACATGGTTATTTAAAACAAAAAATCAGTACCTATTACTTTTCATGCACGTAAACAGTTAAATGTAAAAGGATATGGTTTTCCATATCATAAAGAAAAGCCAATTATGCACCAACCCATCAAAGTTCACCTCAACTAGATAATAAAAAAAAGTGCAGATAGCTGCCTGAATAAGTCAATGTTTAACAGTCTCGCTGCCGAGTTTTGAATTGGGCGCTCTCTCACCATGGTTCTGAGACCAAGGGAACGTTTCCAACTTCTACTGCAATGTCATTGCAAATACTAGTAATTGAAAAACTGTAACAATCTGTGAGAACAATTTTCTAAAATATTCTTTATAATTGCTGACACCACCATTAGTAGAAATTGATTTTGCCATTCATAAAAGCTGAATTCAAAGGGATACATATTTAGCAACCATCACAGCAGCTATTTTCTCAGTGGACAAAAAGTTAGTGTAGTTTGACCAATTGTTACCAAGCACTGAAAAATTAAGCATTGTGCAGCTGTGAAACAAGTCAACATCTTTGGCAAGGTGTATGCCACTTTTCCAGTATTCTTTTCAAAAGCTAATGACCTTCTCCCATCACTTTCTCATATTTAGTAATGGAGGAGGAAACTTAGAATGTTCTATTTTTTGCTAGTCATGTAAGGAATTAAGAGGTGGGGACAGATAGGCTAACTGGATTTCCATTTTAAAACCATTGCCTGGTGCCCCTTCCCCCACATGCTACCATCAACATTTTTAAAATAGGAGGCATGCATCAGGACAATTCATATCTTCATGTCTTTCTTGTCAAACTGCACTGTAGATACAATGATACTGAGGCCTGCATGATCAGGGCACATTGTATTTAGTCTTCCTGCTCCACAAATACCAATTGATACCCACATTCTATCCCTACAGAAACACCGGCCTACAAACTACAACACATGACATACAAGAAACTAACCTCTGTCTTCTTCTTCAGAAATGAGATCTGTTGAGAAATCTGAGAGATAGCAGGATCGTTCTTCTTCAGGTATTTAGCTGAAAAGCAAGTTGTATTCAGTATTAGTCATGACATCTTGCTTGCCTCAATATAATTTTCATTGAACTGGAAGGTACTTTCCATGCTAGTAATTTTTCAATCCATGGAGCTCAAGCTTCTTTGGGCCTTTTTTTTTAATGCAATGTGAGGGTAATTTGCATTAAAATGCACCTTAAGGAAGTCCTATTTCTTGGTATGACACAAGTTTTGAATGCATAAAGCACAACAGGAGTTATGATTAGAAACCTCTCTTGAATATATATTTTGGCATTATTCCTGCCACTGTATCCTATATAACATGCAGTTAAGTTCCCTTCTTGCTTATGTTTAATCAGAGACCATTTACACTCCTGGGCAGTTTTTATTGCATATCATAGGGATGTTTTCCAATTGCAGGAGTGATTGAAACGATGCTTACCTTCATGCTGAATGCAAGCTTGCAGATACAGTGTGAGAAAAGCCAAGGGCTCAGTGACTGACAGGCAGCTATTTTAACATGGAGACAAGGATATTGTCTCCAGGACAATATCATTATCCTTGGCAGACTCAAATTTTGCACCAATAGGGTGAAGACTTTGCCTGGCTCTTATTGGCTGTGCCATGACCTCTGATACAGCAATGAGGCATTCCAGCTCAAGTGATCAAGAGATGGTTGCGCTTCAGACTCCAATTTACTTGAGAAAATTATTGCATGTTGGCAATCAAGACTTATGAAAAAAAGCAAAAATTTTGGCTTTCTGGCTCTAATTGGTTTTTGAGATGTCCGGCTCCAAACTTTGCCCCCAAGAGGAAAAGTGACCTTTGGGGTTCATAAGTTGAAAGACTAGATTTAGATTTATTATAGGCATGAACACTGACATTTGACATATGTGACAGCCACATTACACTTTGTGACAACTATATTACACTTGGAAGGAACACAACTCCATTCTGAAGTCTGAATCTTCTGAAATGTACATGCATGCATGCATTAAGGATACCAACAAAATTGTTGCATTGGGAAATCCATAAACATGTCGAATATGGGTATTTTATTGCTTAATGCAAGCATATAATAGAAATAGCAGTATTTATAAGTCAAATGTGAGATATGCAAAGGCTTGGTTGATTAACCAGAATTCCCATCGCTGTGATTTTAGTCACATCGTTCATTTGGGAAGTTCAAAAGAACACAGACACAAAATGCAAAAGTAACAACACAAGTAATATATCATGGAAAGTGCTTGGAGAGAGCTTTAATTTGACACTAGTGTCAAGTTTGGATTGTGCTTGAAACAGGAAGTATGAACTGCCAAAGTTGGTGAAAACAGGCAATATTGGACTTTTCAAATTTAATTTTAAACTGCTTCAAAGAACATAGGAATTTGAAATTCAGTTCTTGAATTGCCATTGCTTTAGTCTACAACATTAATAAAGCATATTGTGTTACCATGCATTCTAGTGCTCAAAATTTGTGTGAAAAATCTGGTAATATTTATAATTTTGGAAATTGTGTAACACAATTTTTTATAATGTAGTAGAAAATGCATTTGACAATGTGATTCTACATTGTCTCAGCTTTAATTAGAGTCCAAAAATTATTTTCTAGCTCAACTAGGATCAAAGATAGCAAGCGCTTTAACCCAAAAGGTCACATTTCCTCTTCGGGGCAAAGTTTGGGGCTGCATATCTCAAAAACCGTAAGAGCCAGAAAGCTAAAATTTTGGCTTTTTTTCATAAGTCCTGATTTTCAACATGCAATAATTTTCTCAAGTAAATTGGAGTCTGAAGCACAACCACCCCTTGACCACTTGAGCTGGAATGCCTCATTGCTATATCAGAGGTCATGGCACAGTCAATAAGAGGCAGACAAAGTCCAAACCCTTTAGGTGCAAAATTTGAGTCTACCAAGGATAATGATATTGCATATCTCGAAAACCATTAGAGCCAGAGAACTTTGGTTTTTTCATAAGTCTTGGATGCCAACATGCACATTTTTTCCTAGCAAATCAGAGTCTGAAGCCCAACAAAAGTGACTAAAATTTGATCACTATATCTGGAATGCCTTCAATGGGACTTTATTTAGTGTGAGGTAGTCTACTAAGATTTCAGCCACAGCTTTAACAACATTGTGAAAGGCAATTGTACAAATTCAAACTTTGTCAGGTGCACGAAAATCTAGTTATATCTCCCCTTTCAATGGACATAAAAGTAGAAGAAGGGGGCATTTCCCATCCCCCTCGTTTTTTCACACTTATGACACTCTGGTGCCCTTCTTGCATTTCTTGCCCCTCTTCTTCACCTGTGATATGAATAGAAGCTGCTCATGCCCTGCAGTGTCAATAGAAGCTGCTCGTACACTGATGATTTCGTTTTATGTTTTCAGTCACAGACAGGGCTACTGAACTTGCTAAACATGCTTGCTGAGTACTGTATCTCCCAGTGAATACCACCAAAAGAGTGACTTTAGCTGGTAAAATGGGCTCTTGTTTAAAGGATATGAGAAGTGGCTTTTTCAAAGGCCAAAAGTTGCAAGTTGTGTTACATGCTAAATACCCAAGCTTATTTATCTACCTCCTATAGGTTAGTGTCTCAATATGCAAGTCTTGTGGACCACCAAGAGAGTTGGCTGCTGAAAAAATTAGAGGTATCTTGTCATGCACATTTTTTTGCACATGGAATCATGGATTCCACATGAAGTATTTTTTGTTCTTCATTTAGTAGACCCAACTTGATAAGAACACACAAAAGCTTAATTCATGGGTTTCCTCAAGAGCTATACAAAAGTAGCAAGTGCTTGGGCTTGAGTGAAGCTGCTTTAACTCCCTTATAAATCAAACAGGAATAAGAGATGGAACCTTTTTTCATTTCACTCCCAGTACTTTTTGGTGGTAAAGATCACATTGTTATCAATCTGTTTCTGTGTTTCAAAGCAAGGTGTTTCACATATTTACTTTCTTTCCTAGTGGAAACCCTCAGAAATGCTTACCAGTCATTTTGGTGTCATTAATTTGAACCAAAAAAAAGTGGTTTGCCTCAACCTAGAAATATAAAGAATCAAAAGCCCTTTTTAAATCCTTCATGAATAACTAGCATATATTCATGAAGACAAGCATTACCAAGAGGAAAGAAATGTTGCAACAATTTTTCCTTTCTGTACCTTCCAAACAGACCAGACATTTGTTTTCATTATCTCTTCAATCAGAGTCAGGCCTCAAGTGGAAACCTAGGCAATGGTTTTCCTCATTTATGCATAGGCTACATGCACAGAATTTTTCAATAGGATCCGAAATGTTCAATCTCAGGAATATTATTTCATTTGCAAATCTTTAGAAAGGGGAAGGAATACATAACATGTATTCCTGACTAAACAATTTAAATTGTAGGGTGAAACAGGCCTCAATTTCCTGTTTCTATGAATGAAGGCATCACCCAGAAAAAGAGAAGAGTGAATGAACCTCACATTTCTCGGCATTGGGAGATGGAAGGAGAAGGTTGCTTGTGATTCTTTCAGGCTGGAAGGACGTGACAGTCCTGGCTCCAGAGACCTGATAACCTTCAGTAGCTCCATCCTAGGAAGCAATCATTGCAAGCAGCAAGGATAATGCCAGAAGAGGCAAAAAAGGAGCATTCATTCAAATGCTTTAGTTTGAATAACAGGAGAAAACACAATGTAGTTTTCATCATTAGTACTTAAAATTTTTTAGGGTACTTAGAGGACAGATTGTCCATGAGTCTCCAGCTGTTTTACCACAAAAGCGTTTTTACAAATGCAAATGGATTTATATTTTTTGTGCTTGCATTGCAACAATGACCTTCAACCTTGCAGTACTGACTTCAAGTGACAATTCCTTTCAATGTTTTTTTCTTATAGCACTTCAGAATCTGTTGAACAGATCTCTGGCTGTCTCTAGCTAATTGCAGTTGGAATATTTTCATCCCTAGATTATCATCCTGTGAAACAGTGATCACACAGATATCTGCAGCAAGTACCCGCAGTACGTAGGTACATTTGCAGCAAGAGCTTGAGAGTCTCAGTGAACAATTTTCAGAGCTTCATCTTTGCCCTTTGCTCCAGCATTGACATTCCAGTAAAATCTGCCAAAAGTTACTGACCATGGCAATTTCTTTTTATCAGCAACAGAGTTCCTTAAAAGAAAGACCACTGAACTTTTAAACATGAATCACAAAGTGTACATAGTTGATGCCTGCCTAGTGCCTGATGATTTTGAAAAGTAATATATGAGCTACAGCCAAAGTTCTGTTTCATTTTGATCAGTCTAGTATTATGAAAGTGTTGTTTCTTATCCAAGCTTTTGCATAACATGGCATTTATGATGCATTTAAGGAACTCTAGCAAACAGCACAAAATTGCACAAATATGCTTTGCCTTTGAGATCATGAATCACAAACCTGACTGACAACCCAGTATGTGACAGAATGTTTAAATATGCTTCAAGGTTTAGGATACCAGTGGGTCAAATAGCCTCTGAGGTGTGTAACACCAAAAGGAGGACATGAGCCCAGTAGTGTCCTAAGGAAACAGACATCAATGAGGTCATCAGTGTGTTATGACAAGTAAAATAATGAAAAGGGAATCTTAATTTGGCCAATTTCTAACTTTGCACTACAGGGTTAACCAGAAAAAAGTAAGCCAAAAAAAAGGAAGCAAAGCTTTTGAAGTTGTTTGGTTTGTTCAGGTGCCTGGAATAGAAAATTGTATAACATTTACACAGAAATGCACAAAATATAAAAGCGCATGCATTAAATTTTTTTAGATAAAACACACACATAAAAACATCCTGCCAAGTTGTCATGATGATCCTTCCACAGGAAGGAATTCTTAAGGCAAAAATCAAGAGTGACTTCCTGCCTCACAATGGCAGTGGCATGGCTGTTTACTCAGAATTTTGACAATTTTTTAAAAATCTGTTGTAACTCAAGCATGGGTAATCATACGTCCATGAAATTTTAGAAGCTCTTGATGAACATATTGACATTTCATTAAATTTTCAAGTCAATCAGTTAAGAAATATGGATTTTAAGATATTTTTGAGTGGCTTGCATTTTTCAGTCAACCCTGTAGGTTTGGCCTCAGAGAGTTTTGAAATGTGCCAAAAAAAAGGCTTCAGCAGTCAATGTGTTAATATATAAATTCAACCATATATGATCTTGCCATATGAAACACTTTTAATCAAAAAGAAATTAAGTCCATTGCATAGCCTAAAAAGAATTAAAGAAATGCTCAATAATGAGTACATAAATATTCCAAACCAATAAATATATTTCAGAAATATGATCTTGCAAAGAGAGTGGTCAAATTGCCAGAATTCTCTAGTATGCAGAAGGTATGCAAAGTTTCTGCATAACAAAGTCACAATTTGGATTCATTCAGTCCACTTTATTTTCACTCAACTATATACAGGGTGTCCCATAAGTCCCTTTACCCCTGAACCTTTTCCTAGTAGAATAGGGTAGCAAAATGAAATTGATGCAGTTAGTTATTTATGTATTTTCACATTTAAAACACTTGTTCAACAATGTAAAGGGGCTTTGGTCACTCATATCTTCTGCCATCTTCACAAATCCTCCTGTAATTCACCTGAAAAAAAAGAGGGTAAAGGGACTTATGGGACACCCTGTATATAGAATCACACCCTCTAATAACCCACTTGAAACTGCATTCATGAACTCCAATATAATCTGCACATTCTGAGTAATAGAAGAAAATTACTTGCATCAACAAGCAACATACCTGTTCTTCAAATACATTTGGGTAGTTCCCCTTAGCATGCCAATAGTCTTCCCCTCCCTCATGCTGCAAGACAGAGAAATTGAAATTGAAGAGAAATATGTCCCATCAAAGGGGTAGCTATAACTTAAAAATGAGGGTGCTGCTAAGATGAGACCTAGATATAGACTAGAGATATCAATATGGGCAGAAAGTCTTTTTGACCTCTTTGGCCTCTTTGACCCAAACCTTAAAGGTAAAAGTCTAGTACTGTTATCTCAGTCAGGAAATCTAATACAAAATTTACAAAATTACCTTCAAGGCTTTTTCCACTAAGCCTACTTCTTTCTTTAACCCATTACTGCATGATATCCCACATGAAAATTTCATATAAGACCATATATGAAATGGGCATATATTTAGCCAGTCCAACATATGTGGGGAATATATGACCATATAGTGCAATTCATATATGAACATATATGAAACATATATGGGATTTGGCACAAGTCACATGAAATCATATAAGAATGAAAATATATGACCCCATACATTTTTATATATTGGCTCATACAAATGCACCATATACTGTCCATATATGCCATGTCATATCCATGGATGGTGAGATTACCTGAAACATGCCAGTATCCAAAAAGGGTACATAACCCATCAGATACTGTATGATCATTCATATGCAAGTCACCATACCTTACTTGCAATAAACTCATTTTTAATTGTTCATAGACCACAGTCCATTACTCCAAGAACTCATGTTTCATGGTGTTCAGCATGTTGTTGTTGATGTTCAACATCCTTGTTAATGAAGGTGAAAGTTTCAATATTATAGACTTTAGCCTTCACAAGTATTTTCTTCAGTAATGCTATTTCATGACAAAACTTGGCTTACTCATGTAAGAGTGTTTTCATTTTGACTGACAACTCACAAGATAGATGGGAACAAAAACTGTAATTCTGTCTGAAATTATCCAATGAAGGCATGGCACAGCATAGCATGGCACGTGCCACCCACTTAGCAACAACAAAAAAGCACATTAATACAAAGGAAAAGATGCATGAAATGTACGATAACAGTGTCCCAGAGTTCCTGTGGCCCCCTCCCCCCCTCCCAAACTTTTTTCATCTGTGAAACACTTATGCTACCTAGGGAAGGTAGGGCCCAATTTGAAATCCCAACTGGAATTTTCCAGCTGGACAGAAGCTGTATATTCAGACCATTTCCAGCTTGCAAAGAGCTGAAAAATGGTAGATACAGGTTGTTTTACAGCTGGAAATTTACCATTAGAATTTTATACAGAAGACTCTCCAGTTGGAATACAGCTGAATTCACAGTTGAAATTCAGCTGCTTCTGTAGATGGACCTCCAGCAGGAATAGCCAAGAAAAACATTCTCATTCCACCAGTGTATTGCAATTAGGAACAATCTGGATCTGATTTAACTTTCCAGCTGCTACCTAGTTGGACTGGGTCTCTATTTCCAACTGAGGGCCAGCTGGAAATTATAGCTGTCTCCAACTCAGATTTTAAGCTTGGGGAGGTGGGTTCGAAATCAAACTTTTGGCAAATTACTATACATAGCTAATATTTCATGTAAAATATAATGGATGCATTAAAAATTAGTTGCAGAGGCATCTGAAGGTCTAAAGCCCTCATGTGTAACAACCTCATGGAGTGGTGTATTTTACAGGGAGGGGGCAGAGGGGTGCGGCTGCCCCCCCGGCATTCCAGGGATAGGGCTTGGCTGCTGCCCTGTCCCCCCTGACTTTTTAGCTAAATACACCACTGACCTCATGCTATGTTTTACTTACAACCATAAGACTTTTCTATGGATATTCACCACATATCAAAGATAATGCCATTTTTCCATCACACTAAATATTGCAATGCAGGTAAAATATATTATACACCACACAAACTATCAAGTTGTATGGTGTATAATATGTATAAACTTGTATCAACAAGTAATCTTAGCAAACTTCATACATATATAAACAAGCTCATATGCCCATAGGAGCATGGTTTGTTTATTGTTTCCATCTTAAAAATTATTCACACAGCAGGTAGGTAGGTAGGCCAAAGCCTATTGAGGAGCCCAGAAAACTATGTCAGTACTGAAAAAGTGAACTCACCAGTTCTGGACTGATACTTTCCTTCTGAGCAGATGCAATCCCATCTATGGAATGGAAATTAAAATCAACCCTCTCTTCCATCCCATATAACAACCTATAATCCTATTAAAGAAAAAAAACATTTGGAAAATGTTTTGAGAACTCCTTTTAAATGGTGAGCAAACTACTGAATGTAGACCAATTGTATTATTATTGAATGTGTCTTTAAAATAGGTTTCAACCAATGACACCTCACACTTTAAAGGTCTCTATTCTCTCTGATCAGTAGAAATCAGCATTTATAGCTAAGGCTACAGTAACCTTGATATTAGGATATTGACTAATAAGAATTACTACTAAGAATATTAACTAATAATTAGTATGTTATACATGTCAGACCATTCATGAAAAAGTATTTTTAGTCTATGAACAAGTTACTTAGTACCTTTCAGGCTTCAAAATGATGTGATGACAAAAGAGATAAGTAATTTTATACAATGAAGACTTTCCTGATGGCCATATGAATGGTAGGCCAGAGATCACTTGAACACAGTAGAGGTTAGAGGTTTCCTTACAGTGTGTTTTACTGGATTTAAACTGAGTTTCACTTGACTCCGACACTAGTGCATGAGGAACATCCCATGTACAGGTGTCTGAGTCAAGAGAAAATTTGTCTGACTCAAGTGAAAAACATTATAGTAGGTCCCCATTGAACTCAAGTTCCTTGCTATCTCTAAGTATCATAGGTGGGACAAGCTGCAAGTGGCCTTCATGACTTCCATGTCTTGGTGTGCTATAGGCCTGTGTAGCATAAACATAGTAGCTAAGCTTTGAGGAATAAACCATCAAACTCATGCATTCCTGTTTTTTTTTTAATTCTTACTATAATTATTGCCTCTTACCCAAAAAAAACTAGAATTTTTCTTCTTACACCTTTAAAAAATATTATCTTTATTTTAAAGAATCATTCCCTCTCACATGGCATGGGGTAGCTGTGGCCTAAATAAGTTGCAAACAGTTGGACTTTTCAGCCCTACCTCTCATCCATGCAAGAAATAGCTAAACTTATTCCAACATAACTCAAATTGCACCTTACTTATGATGATTCAGCCATCATCTCTTATGGGCAACATCTCCTGCAATCTAGGTGAAATTGACCCCCTGAATACAAGTACCACAGCTGCCCATGTTTGTTAAAGGGTGAGAATTCAATCCATAAACAAGGTATTTCTTGTTATTGGAGTTTTTTTCTCTTTAACCTTCTAGATTATAAATCTTAAATCCCTAATATTAATTTAAACATGAGAGAGAATGTTATTAGAGCCTACTTTGCATGAGTTGTCACAGGAATAACTAGGATAGGTTGATGACTTGGAAATGACTTTCCTTCAGCTTCTCAGAGTAATAACAATCATGTCTTTGGTCCCTGGGTCCAAGGAATGATGTGGAGGAATAATAGTTAAAGATCTGAGAGTTACTTTCTTTTTTTTTTAAATAAAAAGTATAAGGACCCTGCTTCCCACTCTCCAAACGCATGTATAACCAGGGACCACTTGCAAATGGGGAAAGGCTAATCAGAGGCTGCATTAGAACAGGTACCAGCACCAAGCTATGGATAATTGCCAGAGTACATTGGAGTACATTACCGATGGGTATTTCATTGATTGGTACTATCTTGAACTGAGGTATTCTCATTCCTAGTTTCCGTTAATTTCTTCGTGAAAATGTATGATTAATCTAACGTTAGGCCTAGTGGAACTGTAAGAAAAATAGAAAGACAAATATATGAATTCCCCTCCCATAAAATCCCTGGTGTATAGGCATATTACCTTAATCCATTCTAAAGTGCATATGGATCTCCAACGTCTACAACCCCTGGGGTCAGAATGGACCCTTTCGGCCCACTTGAACCCAACTCAGGTTACCAATAGAATTGCCTAACCTGCATATATTTAAGAAATTTTCATTGAAGAGACTGCTGAGTACTTCATAAGGTCAAATATTGCTGCTGCGATAAAAATCGTAATTTTTTATGCTATCAAAACTGGAGCACCTGCAAATCACATGGCACGCTGGCAGCTGCCATATTATGCTGCATGGCCACGCTCAATGGGAGTGTTTTACGAGTGTGCTAACATGAAGCTCTTATTCTCTACTCGATAATTTCCCATGTACAAGCCGAAGGAAGGAAATCATTCCAATTAGCTCATTTGTTGAGAGACGTAACGTAGCTCAAGAAGACTCCTGGCAATTCTTGCATATTGCACGGAGAGAGAGTGGTTCCACTTGCCAGGGAAGTCTATTCCATTCTCATGGATCATGACACCTTTGACAACGGAAAACAGTCTTTTGATTGAGAGGCAAGGATTGGAAGATGAGAGTAACATCTCAGTAATACCTTCCTTTCCATGTAAACGCTTCTCTTATATTTTTTTCCCGGAAACGTGAGTGGGCGAAATTTTCGTAATCTCAGAAAGTACTCCTCTCCCATGCTACGAATTTTTATTAGCATGCAAATTTTGCTCCATTCCTACCCAGGGATGGGGTTGCTATTGTTATTGTTGTATCCCTCAATGGCCATTCGATAGCTTTCCCATAGGGAATCTCCAATGGACCCAAAAAACGGACATCCAATAGGCCATCCAAAGAACATGTCCAAGGATTATCCTTGGACGAGGCATTTAGTCATCCAGTGGATGTCCGAGGAGGATATACATTGGATGTCCAAGTGACCACGAGGGTATATCTAATGGATTTTTTTTTTTTGAATCAAAATTACTACTTGGGACTCTTCAACAAAAATTACCTATTTTCGGAAAAATGAAACAAAAACAAAGCCATCACTTTCAAAAAATTCTAAAAAAAGATGCTTCATAAGGAAATGGAAACGAAAGTGATAATATTTTATATTCTAGTCCCGAATTCTCCCATCTAATGCCAGGATATGTGTACCTACCACTGTTAAAGGCTTTTCCCTCCTGGAACTATAAAAAAAAGCCAGTGTTGCCGCACGAGCTTTCAAATTGTATACATATATGTTGGATTTCGCTTGGGAGCTCTGTGACCAGTGTGGGAGATGCTTCGCAGACGGTCGCAGTGCCGCTTTACCGCAGCTCTTCGCAGTGTGCATCGGCTTTTAGGGTTACAGCTAGACTACAGCATGAGTGTGTCCCACTAAATGTGATTTTTAAGCAGTATCATAATATATTATATTATGTATTGGTATCCTTACAATTAAAAAACGGGATCTGCTTGCACGGAGTGAGCTGTTGAGTTTTTTTTCTCACATCTATGGAATATTAAATTGCGGTGTATTCGTGTGAATAGATATTATCAGCTTTGGTAGCAAATGCCTTGACTTGGCTTTGATTATTTATAAATTTAGCAAAATGATTTTCAGCAATTCCGGCTCCCTGTCAGCTTCCGGAAATAAGACCCTAATCGCCAGAGTCGCGGTGGTGCTTCGCGCCGCAGTTGTTGGTTGGGGGAGGGAGGGGGGGGGGTGCCATTATGCCTAGAAAAGGCCTTGTGTAGTTATTGAGCAAATGCTGGTGGCCATATCCGATGATCCTGTATTCCTCTTTCCCATTAGTGTTCACACCAAATATCAAGGCCCTGTTACGTTGGCGAGTACTCGCCAGCGAGTGGGCGAGTGTGGTGTTACATTAAACGAGTACTCGCTGGCGAGGGCTTGCCATTTACTCGCTTCTAACTGCCAGCCTTCTATTCCACTGTGGGCTTAGCGGCGGACCTCACCAAGGAGTGGAGGAGGAGCCACCCCCTACCGGACACCTCCCACCTCCAAGAGACCTCCCCCTGACCGGGACAAGGGGGTGGAGGCGAGACTAGATGGTGGACAGACACAGAGTGGATGTGATCGTGTGACATTGTATCACGGTGTGTATTGTATGTCTGGATTGTATAGGGACCTGTAAATTATTCCCGTCGCCCTCGACTTATCAGCTTCCCTCCTGCCTGGTGCCTGTAGACTGTACGAGTGAGTTGTATACATTCAATATATCCGTTGTTATTGTTTCTGAACAGCCTAGTTCTTCCGAATCTCACCAGTACTAATCTAATTGGAGTCAGTCCGTATATAATAGGGCCATTTTACGTACACGGAGAACACGCGATCCCATTCGGCGGCCTCGCCCACACCACGAATAGGGAATTTGTTTTTTTTTTTAGCACCTGTGTACAAATGGCGATAAATATGAGATATGCAAAGATGATGGCTGCCCGCCGAAAACTGAAGTTCTCATCAGTCATGGTGGATCTATTCGACAATGTGATAGCACGCCAACTATCAAAATGACACTTAGGAGGCCGAGGAAAGCCAAAACAGATATCTTCGATTCTGTTCAAATGATTTTTCCGAAAATCCGCGTGCCATTCATTTCATATTTTATTTATCCCAATCTCTTCAGTCATGAAGTGGCCATAATCAATCTCCTACGAGTTTCACACCTGGCAAGGTAACGAAAGGATGAAATGAGCAATTCCTCTGCTTGGGTCTATCAGTACCGTTTTCTTTTTTGTTACCCTTGGAGCCACCTTCTCTAAGAGTCTCTGGAAGGTTGCTTCGTTCATTCGAAGAAAGCCAGCGACGTGATTGGGAATAGACTCTTTTAGGTGGGGCAGTAAAAAATTGTGCGCCACCAGAGTAGATCTTTTCAAGAGCCAGAGCATCGTCCAAATTCGTCCGTTGTGTTTTCCACTCTTCCTGATAATGTACCATACCCCAATGAGGGCAGAAGCGACTCTGGCGTTGAACGGCAACTGATATAGACGCATCCCGAACTCATACCAGACGCTTCGCGTTGACCTTTTCAACTCCTGTCGTGGGAGGAGTGAGGCTCCATCTTGATTCGAGGTTGCCTCTTGATTGGTTCTTGATAGCGAACACTCGCCTGACGTTTGAAATCTTCCAAACTCATAGCGAGTGGTAGCGAGTGGGGTGTTACACTAAGGGAGTGGCCCTAGCGAGTACTCGCTTAGTGGAACAGGGCCTTAAAAGCTTTACGATCGGGGCCAAGAAGTTGCGAGGCCTGGGGCAAGTGAATTCCTGGGGCTCCCCCCAGCTACTTTACTACTACTAATAGCTACTTTACGCGAGTACAATACTTTTATTGAACTTAACGATTT